ACAGAAGTAATTAACAAAGGACACAAGCAAAGCTAGAATACCCACTCTTAAAGAAATGTGGCTTATCACTTAGATCTTGGTACCAAACTCCTCCCTCCCAACCAAAGGGAGTTAGTTCCACCCTCAGGGAGGTTCCTGCCAGTGTGGGCCAGACTGCAGGAACATTGGACACTACTCAGTTGCTCTGCCTTTGTTGTGTGGCTGGCGCTCCTTCCCAATGAAAGCAATCACTCCAGTTGATACTACAGATGTCTTTATTCTACACAGTATTACAATTACAGTCACATAGGCTAGGAAGTTTTTTTTTTTTTTTAATTTTTATGCCACCCCATTCGCTGAAGCCTCGGGGCGGCTTACAACAATAAGTTAAAAATAAATAACATTAAATTAAAAATATATATATTAAAATTAAAATACAAAAATAACAATATAAAATAAGCCGCCCTGGCCAGATAAAATCCAATAATATTAACAATTAAAATGCTGCTTAAATAAAAAGGTCTTTGCCTGGCACCAAAAAACAAATAACGACGGCACCAGGCGGACCTCTCTGGGGAGCGCATTCCATAACTTAGGTGCCACCACAGAGAAAGCCCTCCTCCGAGTACCCACCCTCCTAATTTCTTTCACGGAGGGTTCCCGGAGAAGGGCCTCTCCCGCAGATCTCAAGGGGCGGCCGGGCACATATGGATGTAAGTTGTCCTCTTGTTCTAATTAAGTTCAACTTACACTGGGTGTATGAATTCTCTGTGGCCGTCCTTCTGTAGGCGGGGCGCTATGAACCCTTTCCCTCATTGATTGTGTCACTCAATCAATCTCGATTCTGTCCCAGTCTGAGTGTGCGTCTGTGAGAACGAGCATCCTCAACAGCTTCATTCATGTTACCTCCTAAATTCCCATATTGTCACCTGGTGTGATTATTCCCTCATCAACACCCAAATTGGTCTCTGGATGCTCTTCTGTTTTGACACCTCCCTGAATTTCCTTATCTCCTGTATTTCCAATCCTATCATCTGTGCAGCTGGGGAGTAAAGCTCGTTCTGCTAACACCAGAAATACATCTTCATCAACTCTCTGCTTCTCATGGGAAGTTTTCTCCTCTTGTGCGTGCGCCAAGGATTCTTCTGAGTCCACGTGCACGACAGCCTTTCTGATCTGATACTGGACCATGAGACTGATCAAGTTACATGTGCCCCATCTGGCTCTGCCTATTCAGTGGAGCTTTCCACAGAACCAGCGGTAGCTCATCACTGGGCCTGCTGGTCTCGGCATTTCATCCAAGAATTCCAACCCTCCTCTTCTAGTTCTGATCCAGATTCTGAGGTAACAATTGTGGAAGGCTGTATCGTGGGAGCAGGACACCCAATCCCTGCAGAGAGCATTCTCCATTGCAGCTGAGGCAGTGGGCTGGTTTGGGAGCACAGGGCAAAGCACGAGGCTGACAGCTCTCTCGTCCAGTACCCGGTTGCCACCTCCCCGCTTCTGCCATCTGAGGCTACTGCCTCACTCTGCTTAATGGAAGGTCTGGCCCTGAGATAGATGGTGTGTTTAAGAGACTATTGCCAGTTGGTCAGTGGGTCTCTCCAATCACCAGCACCAAAGATTGGAGCAATGATGTGATGTGCTTGAAGCAGCCTTGCTCTGTCAGAAGAAACGATGAGCATTTTACACCTGCAAAGCCTCCCAGCCTTCATCAGGGCTCCCACGCACCAACAATCCCTCACAGTCCTTGGAAGCACAAGGTACTGATAGGCAGAGCATTAAACGAACAGGTATATGGATACTGTCACATTTTAACCAAGCCTTAAAAAGCTCTAAAGTGCTGGACTTTTGTAGGGCATTTAATTAGATAAAAGATTTTCAATTAAAAAAGTCATGTTGAACAGAAGCATAGCAGGATCAAAGCTAATGTACAAAGTCATTTAAAATACGCTCCGTGTTGGGAAAGAGGGTAATAACATCTGACTGATGGAGGTAGACGAAAACATCACACCCTGCAGGAGGGTGAAAACAGGTTTAAAACAGTAGGAGTTACATAAATGTTTAATTACAATGAACAAAATATTGACTTAATGATCTCAATGGCATGCTGCTATGTTTGAAGAATTGCTCTTGAATGGTTACCCAAACCTCTTTATTACAATCGTTTTTGTTTATGGGAAGGGCATAAAAATCCCAGTAAGGCAGAGGAGGCTCAACTGTTTACAGAATCAAATTATTTTAGTCAGGAGTGGGGACCTGTAAAACCTCTGATAAAAATTAAATGGCCAGATAAAATGGCAACTTCACCAATTCCAAATTGAACAGAAGGGTTGAAAATGTTCTAAGAAGCAACAAATATAATCTCCCATTAAAAGCAAAAGGCACTGTCATATTCCAGTGTGGTTCCCACTCACTCACAATAGGACTTGTGCAAGAGAAGTTCCCAGAGTTCCCAGCATGGCAGGTTTGTGGATGCGGTGCCATTCCCTTCCCCAGCAATATATCTCAGTGTTGTTACTATGAGACTATTAAGGCAGTATCTTATTCCATATACACCAGTGACGGGAACTACTCTGGCGTTCCACATGTTGTCGGACTACAACTGCCAGCTCTCGCCACGATAGCCAGTGGTGAGGGATGATGGGAACTGCGGCCCACCAATATTGGGAGGGCCGCGTATTCTGCACCAGTGATCTAGGGAATTATGAGATAAACCAGCTCTAGCATAACAGAGAGGTTCAAAGTGAAGGATTATCCTTTAATTTTTTCTGAAAGGAAATTTGGAGTAATTTTGGAGAGTTTCTTTTAATCTGTAACAGTCTAAAGAGACATTTTTAAAACAACCCTATTCTGCTACTCTAGCAGAATCTCCCTGCACATCAATAAGGAGGCTACTACATTTTATCCTAAAGCAAAATTTAAGGAGGATGTGGAAATTCCTACTTGTGAGCAACACCTTGAAGAATTTTAAAGATTCTTTCTGTTGAAAAGAATCTGGGTCATGTTAACATTATTTCTCTGGGAGTTTTGAGTGTCTCGAAATGCTGTCCCATGGGAAGTTTGAAGAATTCATTTGGAGACCCTAGACCTAAAATGATTTACATCCCAATTCATAGCTATTTTATTTACCAGCAACATAGATAATTTATGCATTGTGCTTGAGCGGTCGTAAGTTTACCTGTCAAACAAATCCTAGAGTAATTCCCATTGGCTTCTGAATCAAGTTGATTCAGCTTTCAGATCTCATATCTAGCTTTTCCCACAAAGTAAATGTCTCCTGATGCTCTGCCCACTTGCTCTCAGACCATCAGTTGTAGTTGCTGCCGCCATCACAATGTTTCTGAGCATGGTTCTCCTTGCCTTACCTTTCATTATTTTACTTTATGTGCATGCTCATATGAAGTTAAGGCCGGAAGCAGCAATGCCATTCTGGAAGTGGTGGGGCAATGATAATTAAGGAGGACAGATGGACAAAGGTGGGAAGAGATGTTGGGTGCACAGGGCTGGCAGTTCACTTGAGGAAAACTTGGCTAAGACTAAAAGAAAATCAAGGTGAACGTGGTGCCATTGCTTCAGATCTGGTATACATCTGACTATCACACACTGGGGACAAAAGATGGGGTGAGGGTGCCGTGACTGCTATGTCTTGCTCTTGGGATTCCCAGAAATATCTGATCTGCCACTGCATGGTGAGGGACTGGAAGATACTACGATGAGGAGTTAAGTGTGAGCTGGTTCCAGTGTACAGCACTGCATAAGGTGCAGTTGCAGGCACTTGTTAATCTTAATTACTGCAAGAAGCCAGAAGGCAAGGGTTGGGTTGGGTTGAACAGGTAGCATGCACAGTGATCTCCTCACCCATCCTTGAGATCAGGCTTCTTGGCTAGAGTTAACCAGGACAGCTAGACTATTTGTCACCCTCTGTCCCTGCCCTGCCCAGAAGAGAGACTAGCTTGTGTACAGTGATGGTCTCTACAACAGAGGAAGAGAGGAATTGTATCCTCTCTGTGGCAAGGGGCGTTGTTCTTGGCTTTCCACTTGGAACCATGAGTGTGCAAGGTTTCCAAGTATCTAGTGCCCCAGGCAACACCTGTCATATTATAAAGTCATGTGACTACAGGGATGTCTGTAAGCCTTTTTGTTTGTTTTTGGCCACTGATTATCTGCATTCACATTGTATCTCTACATGGATTCTGTAAATGGTGTATCATCATCAAGGCAGCCAGTTTTGTTTCTTCCATCATCATCATCAACACCATCATTATTGCCATAGCTGAAGCTGTCTGGGCAGTTCACAACAAGATATAAAAACAACATTTTAAGAATTAATTAAAATAGCTTCAATATACAATAAAATAAAAACACCAGCCAAGAAGAAAGGAAACAGCCAGCTGGATGGCCAGGATCCTAAAGGCCTCCCCAAAGAGGGCTGTCTTAACGTGGCATTGAAAAGATGACAAGTTTGGCTCCAGGTGAGCCACATCAGGCAGGCTGTTCCAAAGACGGGGGGGCTACCACTGAAAGACCCTCCCCTTTGTTGCCACCCTCTGAGCTTCTCAAGAGGTTGGAGCACAGAGGAAGCCCCAGAGGTTGACCGTAGTGTCCAGGTAGATCGGGACTGGGTGAGGCACTCCAACAGATATTGTGGTCCCAAGCTGTGCAGGGCTTTAAAGGTTAAGACCTGCACCTTGAATTCCTAGGTATCCTTGAATCTGAAAGTGACTTGGCTGAACCAAGTCCCCTGGCTTGGAAGAATCTTTGGACTTGACCCAGCAGAGTTTCTCATACGTTTATAATTGCTCAGCCCATGCATCCTGCAGACCCTAATCTCCCTCCAGATCTCTCCCCTGTATACATCGGGGAGCGGCTGGCCTCCTGCTGCATTTACCGGATCTCGAGCTGAGTGATGGAGCCTCCAACACAAAGAATTACAACTTGGTGGGAAGTGTCTATACGTTGATCCAAAAGTTGATTCCTAAAGTTCTCTCCCCCCCACACACTCTTCTTTTCATGTGCAGATGGGCTTCTTTCGCAGAAAATACAAAGAAATCATCGAGGCTGAGAAGAACAGGCAAGAGAATGAGGATAGCTGGGACTGGGTGCAGAAAAGCCAGTGAGCTGCTGCAGGAAGGGAGCCATTCGCAGCCCGGTCATGTGACACACGATCGCCGCCCTCTCGGTCCTGCTCATGTATCTTCCATATGTGGAAGAAGGAATCTTCTCCAGATTTTTCGGAGGCCCGCTGACACTGCTGTTCTTCACCTTCTTAAGCTAGGGAACATATCCTGAGGCAGGCACTGCAGACATGTCAGGTGACGGGAGCATCGCTGTCTTCCGGGAAGCGACGAACTTTGCGAACTGAGCTGCAGTGCAGAGCAATATTTATGAATCCAACGTATGTGGTATACCCTCAGGGGAAGACTCTTGCCTAAAAAAAGTATTTTTTATAAATATAAGCTTTTTATACTGATTATGTCCTTTTATATATTTGTATCAATGTTTTATGTTTTCTATTGGATAGCTATATATATAAATATATATAGTTCACTAAGGCTGCAATTCTGCGCATGCTTACCTGGCGGGGAGTCCCAAAGGATAAAGGGGGACTCTCTTCTGAGTTCACATGCATAGGATTGTGCTGTAAAGCACTGATACCCAGCTGGCGTCTTGAACACGCATATGTGTATATATCAATCATACTGTACTTTTGAATTCTGACACAGAAGAGAGAAGCAGATGAAACTAGATGAAAAACCTCACATAGTAAACCCACCACTCTTGGTGATGGAGTGTATAAAAAGCCTGCAGTGGTACCAAGCCAAAGTCATTTCATCTAAAAAATGTGGCGGGGGGAGTTTTGAGCTAAAGAATCCTAAATGTTTCTCACACTGATGATTTTTTTTAATTCTGCTGTCTGGGACTGTCTTTAAAGTATGTCACATTGAAAAAAAATCACCTTCAAACTCTCCCAGAAAATGTATGCATATGCTTAACTTAACCAGAAACATCCTTTTTTAAAAAAAAGTTACCAGGGTGTTTTGTTTTGTCTATTGGGGGGGGTCAATATCCAGTGCCATCCCTCAGGAATATTTAAATGCTTGTTATGTAGGAGTCCATTTGTTTCTACTTAAAGCAGATCCAACTAATGCCCGTGTACCAAATGGACACCCCACCCCTCCACCCCAACAACAGTTTGTGGCCTCGAAGTCACTGACCATCCTGCTTGGTTTTGCAGTTTCAGGCAGCAAAAACGGGAAGCATATTGAGGCTTCCAGGGATGACTTCAGATCTAAGTTGGGTTTAGACATGTACAACTGGACTGGCAAACGTGGACTTCCACACCCTCTGCAGCCTCCTGCAAATGCTGCATAGAGGGTGGGGAGCCGAAGAATTGTCCGGGAAGGAGGGGTCCCCAAAATCAGGCAGAAGCACCTTCTGAGAGTGGAGCATTTCCATCAATAGAAGGCAGATCCCAAATCCAACCCAATGAGACTTGAATAACAAGGATTGTTCACAATTTCCAGCACTACTCACAACATTTTTTAAAAAGATGATTATCCTTTTTCTAGAACAAAGATTAAGGTCTAGTACCCAACCCCCCAGGCATGTAAATGTCCAAACTCCGAGGACTCTGCGCATCCAGCACCTCCAAGATCTTCACTGCCACCACACCCTCTGCCCTGCATTTCCTCTAAAACGCTAGTTTTGGTTGTTTAGATGAAGCTGCTGCGGGGCGAGGCAGCACAGAGGTTTGGCCTTCACACCGCAGAACCTCAGAGTTGGGACTGCAAATAATCCTATCATCCAGAGAGCCTTCTGGATATTGGGCAGTATAAAAATGAAATAACTGTGTCCCACTGGCTGATGTAGGATTGGGGGAAATAGGATTGCTTCCTATAAAATTTGAACCTTGTGATCTCACATTTCCACCCATAGTCTTCCATCAGTATTTGGTTCCTCCCTCACTATGTGACATACTTTATGCATGACAGTGAATTGCTTGCAACCCATAGCAGGATCGGAAGGTCACGCTGGCTTTTATGCACCCTTCTTCATAGGGCTGATTGCACTGAAGAAAGCAGCAATGAATGTCTTCCTTTGGCCAATTCTGACATTACTGCTATGTAGTCCTTTGGCAAGGGGAAGGAACTGGGGGTGGGGGGTGTCAAGGTTGCATAAATATAAACAGAAGAAACTCCCATTATGTAATGTCTGATTATTTTGTGATTATTTATCTGTCACTTTCCATGTTATATTCCTAGTCTTGGTTTGCTTTTTGCAACTGTCCTCTTAACTTTGGCCAGTCTTTTTTGGAGACTGCAGAACTTTGCTTATTGTTAGCAAGCTGGGGTTAAGCAGTAAGTCTATGGATCAGCTGAGATTTATAGCGAAGCTCATCAGTTTAGGTTTCACTGGTCATCAGCAAGGTGATATTAGCAGAATTTCCAGCGTCCTCCACACAGTAAATCAAGCTTCATTATAATTGGGAACATTCCTGCAATGGGAAATTACCCAGGGCTTGTTCACAAATTACAATAAGAGCCTTGACTGTTTAGTGTAAGGAAAAAAAAATTATGTATAAGCGCTCAGGTATTATAGTCTAAGTTGCATAGCATACCCCTTATCACAGATTTCAATTCATATCTGTCATGTTTAGAAATCAATGGGATGAATAAGTGATACCACACTTAAGTCACATTGATTTCAGTGGGTCTAGTCTAAACTTATGTTTAACTGCAGGTGCCTATCTTGCTAAACACCATTCTTATTTGGAAATGAATTTTCAATTGACTTTCTTGCAGCTCCATCATAATGGATTCTGGCATGGCCAAGTCTTATGTTCAAAGTGGTACAGACCTCTGTCACCAGTTGTAACATTTTAATTCTGCCTGCTAATGGGAACCCCAAAAGCACAAATGAACACAAGCAAGCACATTGAAATTGTCAGTATCTCATGAAAACGCATTGGGGAGCACAGTAGCTTTTGAGGAAGTGCTATGGGTATCTGTGGGGCAATTTTTGTCAAAAGCAGTGAACTCAAGTGTATGAAACTGCCTTTTAACCAAAGCCCTACCAGGCAATTGCGTACGCATGCAGGGCAAATGCCTTAGTTGAGTCCTCTGTGAGTGTATTCAGTGTGGGAACTCTGTAACAGAAGAAGCCACAGACGGAGCAATTCTGTCACTCACAGGCATTGATGGAAGGGCCATAGGATACTTTGGATTCATGGATCCAAGATTAGAAACTGTGCTCTGACCTCTCAGTTTTGACCGCTCTCCATCTAGCAGCTGATGCAGAAAAAGTACACACTAGCTGTTCTGTAAGCTTGGGAGAGGAACCTTGGAGAGCAGGAATGGGGGGTTAGTGGGCAGGGAAAAGGGAAGAGTGAAGAGGCCAGGAATGAGATATTCTGCATCTCTGAAACACTGTCTCTAGAGAATTGTAGGGCAGGAAGATGTGGAGGCAAAGGTAAGCTCTGGCATTTTTCCTGCTCTGCTACTAAGTTTGGGGGCTTACAAGCACTGTGGTGGGACTGTGGCCTTATTTTGCTTACAGAGCCCCGCTAGGCCTAGATGCTAGCAGCTGAATGGAAAGCCTCCTCTATCAATCTCTGTTTTAAATTTAACTCTTAACTTTGGTTCTTCAGGAATGGTGAGGTTTTTTTTAAGTTTCCCTGAACATTCGTAAGTACTTTTGTGTGCATTTCCCCTGATAAGTGCATTTTAGGTATTTTTGCCAAATGTACACATTTTTGCAGGAATTTTCCTAATAGAATGCATTTTATGCAAACATTTTAATGTAATACACTTTAAAACAAGCATTTTTTGATCGGAGAACTCAATTGCAAAATTCAGAGGAGTGCAAGTTTTGAAGAATCGGTTTTGGTTTGCACAGTGGTTTGAAAATACAAGATGATATTATTTTCATTAAAGTGTGAATCAAGAAACTTCCTCTCCCATCTCCAGTTCAGACCGATGACTGACAGTTTTGCCACTCAGTCTCAGCTGCCGTATAGGGCCATCTACTCAAGGGGAGTTGGCACACAATCCGTAGCTATTTAAGCACGCAAAATTGTACCACACAGAGCATTCCTCTCACGCATGAGCTCCACATCGATCAGCAGAACTGGCACCTCTCATTCCACTTGTAGGAAGCATGTAGAATCCTGACCAAAGTAACTGTCAACTGTTGATGATTCTGACAATTTCAGAATTTCAGTTCATTTGACTTGACAGAATAATTTGCTGTGTACACTTAATGTGGACAAACATCATGAATGAGCACAGATTCAATTTTCATACAGTGGAATGACTCCATATAGTGGACATGAGCTCCATATTAGTGACAGAGTGTTGTCTTTGTCCAATTTTATGTCACTGCTCTGGCCAAAAGGTCTCCCATGCTAACAACCCTAGCTCTAAACCAGAACTTGTCTTGAAAAAACAGCTCCCCATGGACCCACACACACGACACACACCTGCACCTTCAAGACTAGCAAATTGATTGTGGCTTAAGTCAGCCTTCCCCAAACTAGTGCCCTCTGGATTTGTTGGGCTACAACTCCCATCATCCCCACCAAGCATGAACATTGAAAGGTGCCACTTTGGGGAAGGGCAAAATAACCATTTGTAGATCAAATGCATGGAAAATCATCCTGGAATTGCAAGTAAGGGGGGAGGGAAGGTGTATGGGAAAGGGGAAAAAAGATAAATACTTATTTGCTGCTATGAAAATATTTTTACTTTAGTTATGGTTTGCAACACTTGTAGCCTGAATCTTCAGTATAGATGACCAATATAATTTTTAAGGTTGAATAAATAATAGATTCAAAATTCCCCTGCTCGCAAAGGGATGGAACCTGACCATTCCCTAAGTGATCTGCTTCATAATATTTCAGTGCTACAAGCTTATAACTCAGTCAGCACATTTAAAAAGCAAACAAACCATGCTATGCAATAACACAAGCTGTTACATGTGAACATCTGCAGATCTTTTTAATAAGTGTTAAATCAATGGATAAATTTAAGAATGCTCTTCAGCTGCACTGTTGAATGTAAGACAATACTGTTGGGTCAAATTTTAGCCTGGGGTGATACAACTGATTTCATCCTCCATGTGGCAGGAGAGGAATTGACTATATATGTCTCTTTATTTTCACCATCTCGGTGTCTGAAAAGCATGTTTGAAATGTGCTCGATATCTTTTACCTATGAATTGCCAAAAAAGAGCAAATGCAGCACTAAAAAAGAGAACAAAAGAGAGCATCTATCTACATTATGGTGAGATGCACTGCATTTCCATTTAAATGTAACTATTTGGACAGAGAGGAAATAAGTTTGCACAAATTAGCATTTTCTAATTTATATGTATGCAAATTTAGAAATAGTTAAATTTAAAAAGAAATACAGGACATCTCACCATAATGCGTGACGCTGTGACAAGGGTACCTGTGTTTCAGTGTGTACGGACTGCTGTTGAGGTGCTAATTCTTGATGGGCAGCTCTGAGGTCCATCTACTTCTTTTGGTCATTCTTTAAAGCGGACTTGGATAGTCAGCCCTTAAAACAGTGGATGCCTTGAAGGGAAGACTGTCCTCCAGCAGCTCTTCAAATACAGAACTGTGCAATAGGTCTCATGGCTACCCTTTAAAAGGGATGCATTCTGTTAACTGCACCCCTTCTGCTGTCCTTCAGACATATCCGCACAGTGGCCCCATGCTTGTCCTAAGGCATATTCTCCTCCCTCAACCTGAAGCCAGTTCTTTCATTAAACTCCTGGCCAACTCCTTTTATTCCCTGCAGTGTAGTTTATTTTGCAAAAACATCCTCTGCTGCATTGGGGGTGCTGTCTTTTTGAAGCAATCAATAATCAGGGATGGGAAATCTTTGTGTACCTATGAACGCATTTGCAGTAGCCAAGTTCCTTTCCTTGCTTAGAAGTGATCTCAGCTTCCAGTAAGAAATTGTGTTGACGATCCTAAATTGGAGGATTGACAAATGTATGCCTGTGGTCACCATGTTACTTATGTCCACTTTATAGACCTGTCTCCAGTTATGAGAACCGTAGGCCCAGATTAGAATTTGAGACCTAATCCAGACCATCAGGTCAAAAGTCCATAATTAGTTTGTTGCATTACTGATGATTGCATATCACAGCTAAATAGCACATAATACTCAGTTATGTATAGTCTATGCCTGATATGTTGGGGGTAGGAAAGTATGGGATTTTATCAAATCTGTCCCTTTGTGTTTTGTGGATTGTCAGACACCTTTCATTCTGTCATCCAGAGCTGAAGTTTTGGAAGGAGAATTTCATTCATTTGCAAATCTCCAAATCCACTCCTCTGCCACCAACTTGTATAAATCTGTACAACACAGGAAAGAAAAGCAGGCCTGCTGCAAAAGCTGCACGTTGCATCCATTAAAATCTCATCACATTCGAAACCCTTGTGAATTTCTCTGGCCTCCCTAGTAGGAGGTGAGTTTAGTTTCACCTTTTTTCATTTTTATAGAGTGCTGCAGCCTAACACAGGACCTGAGTGGTAGGACAGCACCTGTGTCTTTTCTCTTGGAGGCAAACAGCACCATGACACACTGTGTGTGTGTGTGTGTGTGTGTGTGTGTGTGTGTGTGTGTGTGTGTGTTTAATGGATAGTATAAATGGAAAGGGTTAGCAACCACTCCATCTCAGGGAGCCTTCTCTTTTATACTAAAGTGGCTGCAAGAGAAACTACACTTGCCTGCCTGAACCTTCAGTTTGGTCCTGAATATTTTTCTTCTAAAAGAGGGGAAACATCATGAAGGAATAGGACTACCACATTAAGTTTGTTAGGTATTTTATGGTTCAGAGGCCACAAAGAGTTTATTTCCTCTCTCGATTAGCTTTGTATGCCGCTCCCTTTTTGTTTGTTTCCAATTCTACTATTATTGCTCCCGAGTTCCAATCACAATAATGAGATCTGACAGTGGTACCCACCTGGATATACTAAAAAACAAATACATTCAGATTTCATTAAATGTTTGCAGGCTTTTTAAAAAATCATCAAGGATCAGTGGATTGTAATTAACAGCAGGAATGTAAACAAGGCCTGTGCAGGAGTGTAGGGAAGGGAAGCACAAACATGTGTGAACTGGGGGGAGAGAGAGAGAGAGTAAAGGGTAGTCTTGCAGCAACCGTATAGCAATCCAGTTCTTGCAGGCAAGACTTAATCCATGAAGAGTAATTTTATTAAGCCAATAGAAGTTTAACAAAATCTGAAGTTTTGCTCCACAATGGCCTGTTCTGCATTGCATACAGTATTGGGTGCCTTGTGGAAGATTTCCTGACTTTTAACTTGAAAGCTATAAAGATTCTACATAGCAGTGAAAGAGGGCACATCTTTCCATGATATGGTAGCATGTCACAAGGGTTTAGTGCCTGAGTACATTTAATGTTGCCATGTTAAAAATCCAATGCTTCCGGAACATAAAGAGAAAACCCTAGCAATGATTGTCCTCAAATGCCTTCATGGTATTAAAATTCATTCACATCGCAATCTCTCCTTGAAGCAGCTTTCAGTTACATTTCTGCTGCAATCCAATACACACTTGCCTGGGAGAAAGTCCAATTACATCCACAGAGGGTTTTCCCCACCCTAGGTGTAGATTAAAAATATGCTATTACATCTATGTAGCATTGCATCTTTGTACCACCATTCCATGTTCTAGTAGGAACCCATGAAAAAATTTAGATGTTGTTTATTCATACAATGTACTACTTATCTACCAAGGTTTTGGATGTGCTTTTTTAAAATAAGTATCCCAAGAAACCATAGAAAAGTGGCCAGGCCTACCAGCAGGCAGAAGGTTTTTTTTTTCCTTCTGGAAAATTGCCTGGGCTATATAATCCAAGACCTCAGTGAGGCTAAAACACCCTTCCAATGTACCACCACTATGCCAATTCCATGTCAATGCCATGAACTGAATGTTTTATGTAGCACATGTGATTTGCAGAGCTGTATCATTCAGCTTCCTGGGCAGTATCATTCAGCCTGTAGAGAATTTAGCCATGTCTGAATTTTTCACTCCAAGTTAACAACAAAAAAGTTTTGCATGTGGAAAGCAAGCAAGTCAGGGAAATGGCAGCTTCTCAAAAGGAGTTCCTTCCCCACTGTGAGTGAGCGCTCCCAACTTCAAGGCTTGCACACACTTTGAAAGGCTGCAATCTGAAAAGGACTCCTGCCTATGAAGGGATTAGCAGTAGCTGTTTTTTTTACTAGCACTGTCTCAAAATTCATCACGGACTGTTGTGAAACCCCAAATGCTCAGGTAAGCAAACATGCTTGGAAGACAGAAAGGTGGCTTTAGGCACCACAGAGAATTCCCAGAGTCATTTTGGGCCTTCGTTTATAGTCGGAAGCCAATGGTGCTGCACAGAGATATATGAAAAGACTGTGTGCATGCGGATCACTGCTAAAAATGACATGGAAAGTATTGAAGCTTGGGACCCACACCTTTGAATACAAAGCAGGCCGTCTGCACGTCACTTGCTCGCTTAACATTTCACTTCCATTGTAAAACTGCTCACTTGTGTGTGTGAATTTTATTTGGGCAGACGACTGTGCGGTCTGTTATAATTCTTGTCACCTGTATTTACTGGCTGTGTGTTCACTTGTATTCTGATCCACTTGCACTCTTTTGGAAATTTCAGGTTTAAAGAAAAAGAGAAAGACATGTTTGGTGAAGAATAAGAATAATCAAAATAAAAATGCCTGCCAAACTTGCTCTATTAAGTGTTGTTTAACTTTCCTTAGCCTAAACTCTTCTGTTTTTGTGCAAGTCA